TGTGTGTGTGTGTGTGTGTGTGTGTGTGTGTGTGTGTGTGTGTGTGTTAGAGCAAATCTGAGCATGTTGAAGATTTTAGTTGTGCCTCTTTGTTGTTACATCTATAGTTGTTACATATTCCTTCTTTCTATGGTGGGGGCTGTACAGTAGCTTGGTGCTCTATCTCACTGCACCAAAGCTAGATTTCTTTGGTGTGTGTTTTTTTTTTAAATTTGTCTGGTATATTTTTTTTTTGAGAAATCTCAGATAAGATAGAAATGTGAACTGTACACATCCGTGGCCCAGCCCAGTTTGAAGCTCACTTGATAAGCTCTCAAGTCAATGCATGCAGCATTTCTCAGTGTTTTATATTCAGTCAGTTCCTCTGCGAACAGGCAATCTGGTGGAGTCATCCGCCGCTGCTGACGCATCATTATCCAGTTTGTTGGACCAACACTTTTGTGACTGCACTTTTTTTTCTGACGCCCAACAACCATAAACTCACAGACAGTGGTGAAGCTCAGTTGTCTCTCGTGTTTTTAGTTGATACGTTTAAGGTCTTTCCATACGCTATATCTGGATTGATCAACAGTTGTTTGTTTTTTATGATATTGGAGTATACAGTGTACAGTGTATGCTTTTGTTGTTTTTGCGGTCAACAGCTGTCATGTAATTCTGATGCTTTTTGACTGATTGCAGTTTTACTATATGGACTGTACTCTGTAGTACTTATCAAGCCAACTTTAAGGAGAGCTGCCGGCTCATTATGCAATTTGTGTCCACACAGCAAAATTGTCCAACTTAACAAGATGAATAACATTGCTTCTCCTAAAGGCTCAGTTCCCCCAAATCACAAAAAGACGTGTTTTCTCTGCTGGTGATATTTAAACATGCAGAGAGTTGAGAGTTTGAGAAATCTTTTTAGTCCCTAAAGAACAGTTCACAGTGAGGTCTGTGTATTATCCAGAGTAACCAAAACATTGCTTCTGAAAACACACAATATTGCTGTTGAGTGTTTCAATGAAAGTGAAAATAAATGCATGGCTAGGCACTGCTCGGTGTACAGTAAATGAAAACTTTTTTGTCAGTTTGTAAAAAAACAACCTTTTACAAACATGTCTGGGGAAATCATGCCGACGGGTTTCAGTTTATCTGAAAACAAGTTGTTTAGTTTCAAAGACTTCTTGAACCAGCTGGTTCTGCTTCCATTTAAGCAAGTTGCTCGATGTCTTTGGTTGCTTAAAGGAGAAATAGAAGTGTAGAGCTGGGTCGCTTGCTGCATCACTTGTTAAGATTAACATTTTTTTTACAGTGCAGCTAAACACTTTAATCTGCCATATATGCCATGTTAATCACAAATGTTTAATAGCTAGAAGCAATGCAACTTTTGTAGCAATGAAACCCGGTCAGGCGGTGAGACGGGCAGAAGACGGAGGCTTTATTGCGCTTTGACTTCGAGACTTTGAGCCCACTTTTGGTAGTTATTCTGAAGCTCAGCGCTTTCATCCTGCTCAGCTCGTAGATATGCATTTGTGTCGGAGCTTCTCGAGAACCATTTTTCTATAAGACAATTGATCGTTCAAGGAATTCAATATATTTTCATCGGCTTTGGTACACTGTAAATGATATTTCTTGAAATGGCCTCGCGCACCAAGCACATCTTTCACTGACTACAAAGAAACACATGTATTTGGTGTCTATTAAAGTTTGAAGAATGAGAGACGTAATAGAGAATACATATTTTGAGATATATACTTGGATATCTATATTTTTGGATGATGTCATTCTGATTTGGACTGTGCTTGAAACGAATCAGACAGAGGCTTCGATGTGAACGTGAGCTCTTTTAGAGACTTGCTCCGCGGCTGCGTTGTGCTCGAGCGGTTATTGAAAACGCAAGCATTTGTACTCATCGGCTGCAGTGAGCTTTCATTATGATCAGCAACACACTTTGTGCTCGCAGTTGATCAACTTACATGTAATCTATTAAGCATGATTATCAGGTGCGTTCAGAGGAAGAAGCAAGCTCATGTACATGTGTTAATATTTACAGAGCTGAGTCTATTTGTTAAACGCAGTCTTGGCTGCTTTGCATTTTATTAAATAATAGAGTGATTTTTTTTGATTTTTTTCCTTGAACATGAGAATCCATTTTGTCATTTGGAAGATTCAGTTGTTTTTTTTTGTGAATAGATGGAGTGTTAAAAAGGTGCACCACAGAAGACCCACTTCCAGTAGGATGCTGCCACAGAGATGGACCGCGGCGTGGACGCCGATGCTGTAACAAAGTGAACTTCTCACCGCGGTCTCGTCCTTCGGTAGATCTCTGTGGCCGCTGAAAGTCAAAGAACAACCTGTAAAAAGGTACACGAGTAGTTTGTGATCACTCCTTTGAGCAGGTCTTTGTACATGGAACAATGATGGCATTAGAAAGTGTTCTTTTATGGTGCCTAAGTATGTTTTTGTTTTTATTTGGCTTTTTAAAAAAGCTAATAGATGTCAGTCCAAGCGTTGGTTAGTTTGTGTTTGTTTGTTTATATCTGTTAATGATAACCTTACAGAGCCTATAAAGAAAAAAATAAGCTAGCTTGAATTTTTTCCTCCGTACAGAAAAAAAGAAAAAATACAAATGTTTACAATATGTAAATAACCAAATAGTAAATATGCGTTTGAGAATCAATCTGTCTGTCCCTCAAAGTGGCTGTAATAGATTGATTTATATTTCTTTATTTCTTCTGTCATTTTAAACTTGAAAATGTTATGACTGCTTGTTCTGTTTTTTGTTTTTTTCTGTTTCGGTTTGTTCATCTTTTTTTATTTTGACTCATGAGAACAGTGCTCCCTCAATTTCAAAATAATAGCTTAACAAGATGAATGTTTTCATCCGTGTTTGTCCTTCTTTACCTGCTGAGTAGTTTCCTTACACTGAGCCTTGTTTATGCACGACTGAGTCCTTTGCTGTTATAATATGTACAGTACGGTGGATCGATGGTAGGCGGCATCACTCTGGTGAGGACTCGGTTCAGATAATTTATACGGGGTGATACCCACATCTTGTGAATAACAGTCAAAACACACCACTTGTTGAACATGCTTGAGTACAGTTTTATTACACAAACGGAGTCGGAAATTCCGGAATAACTATCAAGAGGCGTCCGACGCTTGATTTGCACTACAAAACAAATGACACTCACATTAAAATGGTCGGTTAAACTCATTTTTTTTTTTAGACCAAATTTGACCCATGATAGTTTCCGCTTGAGGGATTTCCATTTAAAACGTTATGACATTAACAACTGCACTTTCATGTCCCCTGTGTCTGCCTGTATCCAATCTTCTCAAAGCATCACTTCTCAGTCTAGACCTGAAAGGTTGCCACCTGTGTGAGTCTCCTGATGTGAATGTTGTCGTACGTTTCACTGGTGTACAGTAGTTCATATTCAAGACCCAACTCTGAACGTTGGAGACAAAATTGGCAGTGATCCGTTTCGCAACGGCCTGGGCAACATTACAGATCAGCAACAATTTAAAACCTGGTTTCAACATTTTTACACTAATAACAAGGCAACGTCCTGTCTGCTTTGCTCTGCCATGTTGCCCCACAAGTTGACTAATGTATCACTGCCTCAGCAGCAACAGATACACGGTTCTTAATGCAGAGTTAACAATAATCGCTTTCTTTCAAAAACAATGAATGGGGCAGTCCGATAAAGCTACTCTACACCAAAGTGCAATTGAACTCCGAGGGAGCACTGTCGATTCAGCCAGTAGAGGCCTATTGGTTGAGGTGTGCCCGACCCCTATGCATGAAAAGATGCTTCTTCTTCTTCTCTTCTCATGTGTTCTCCTCCCTCCCGTTGGTCTGCCTTTATTCAGATACAACATTTCGTTCTTTCTCTCTCGTGTACAGCTTGCCTCAGAGTTGTGTTTGTCCTCAGACAGGTACTCTTTCATCTGTACGGTTCTTTCTTTAGGCTGATGCAATGATTTTAAAAGACAATAAAAGATATATAAAATGACCATTGCTGCTGTCTGCATTTTTATTTCCTCGGTTCATGAAGTCGAGCCAATCATCAACCCGTCACACTTTCACGTACTCGTATGTTCTTGTCCTAGTTATATTCTTCATAACGTTACTGGGCTTAAAAATGACGGCACCCCTCATTTGAAACGCTCACTGAAATGTGTCTCACTTACCTTTAACTGTTAATACTTTCATAGGAACGTTCCCCCCGAAAGCAGTTCTGATGAACACTGTTCTGAAGTCTGTGGTGTAACCAGAACAACCACAACATCTGTCTTCTAAAAAGATAGATACTGCTTATTTAAAAATGTAATTGTGTGATTCTGTGAGAACCACAAATGAAAACACGTATTCTCTACCAGTAAATCAGGGTGGCGACATAAACTTATAGAAGTATTTCAAAATCTAGAAATGATTTGAAAGCCAGATACCACAAGAGGGAAGTGAGAAAATATTGTTTGTGACTTTCTCATACATTGTAACACAAATGCCCACACACTGTAGGAGAATATGGCAAAAGCAAACGAGTACAAATAACAGAGATGAAGTACTGTACTGTACCGGTTCAGTTATATGTAACACTGTACAATGTAATTTTGCTTTTAAACCATGTTTTAATTTTGTACTTTCTGTGTGTATGTAAAATATTGGCCCTTATATGGTCACATTGTGTTGTTTATGTTTGTAATTCTGCCCCTGTTAAGCGCTTTGTGACTTATGTCTGTAAAAAGCGCTTT